TAAACGCGCGAGAACTTACGAGAGAAAAGAAAGTTGATATGGGCGAGAATCTCTTACTCAAGCGCTGTCCAAATCGAAAGACTTCAACAAGTGAAATACACGTGTGTAGATTTGGAAGAAGGCTAAAAGTATCATGTTTGAAAAGTTAGGTAAGCATTGGTTGGGATCCCTGCACCGAAAACGCGAGTGTGGTGTGTCTCTAAACGCGCGAGAACTTACGAGAGAAAGAAAAGGTAGATAGTGGCGAGAATCTCTGACCCAAGCACTGTCCAAATCGACAGACTTCCACAAGTGAAATACACGTGTGTAGATTTGAGAAAGGGCCAAATCTAGCATCTTCAAAAAGTCCAGTAAGCATAGTTTGAGATGTCGACGCCGAAATCGCGAGTGTGGCGCATCTTTAAACGCGCAAAAACACGGAAGAGAAAAAAACTTATAAATGGGCGGAAATTTTCAGCCCAAGCATTGTCCAAAGCGACAGACTACCAGAAGTAAAATACATGTGTGTAGATTTGAGAAAAGGGCCAATTCTAGTATCTTTAAAAAGTTAAGTAAGCATAGTTTTAGTTCCTGACTCCAAAACCGCGAGTGTGGCGCATTTCTAAACGCGGGAGAAATTACTAGAGAAAATAAAGTTGATATTGGCAAGAATCTCTTACCCAAGCACGGGTTAAATCGATAGAGTTCCACAAGTGAAATACACGCGTGTAGATTTGGGGGAGGGCTCAAGTAGCATCTTTAAAAAGTTAGGTAAGCATCGGTTGGGATTCCGCAAGCTAAATCGCGAGTGTGGCGCATCTCTAAACGCGTGATAACTTACGAGAGAAAAGAAAGTTGATATGGGCGAGAATCTCTTACCCAAACACTGTCCAAATCGATAGACTTCCAGTAGTAAAACACACGTGCGTAGATTTGGGGGAGGGCTAAAAGAAGGATCTTTAAAAAGTTAGGTAAGCATTGGCTGGGATCCCCGCACATAAAACGCGAGTGTGGTGCATCTCTAAACGCGCGAGAACTAACGAGAGAAAACAAAGTTGTTGGGGGCGAGAATCTCCCACCCAAGCACTTTCCAAATTGATAGACTTTTACAAGTGAAATACACCTGTGTAGATTTGGGGGAGGGCTAAAAGTAGCATCTTTTAAAAGTTAGGTAAGCATTGGTTGGGATTCCCGCACCTAAAACGCGAGTGTGGCGCATCTCGAAACGCGCGGTAACTTACGAGAGAATGGAAAGTTGATATGGGCGATAACATCCAACCTAAACACTGTCCAAATCGATACACTTCCACAAGTGAAATGTGCGTGTGTAGATTTTTGAAAGTGTCAAACCTAGCATCTTAAAAAAGTCCAGTAAGCATAGTTTGAGATGCCGACACCGAAATCGCGAGTGTGGCGCGTCTCCACACGCGCGAAAACACGCGAGAGATAAAATATAAATGGGCGAGAATCTCCAACCCAAACACTGTCCAAATCGATAAACTTTTAGAAGTGAAATACACGTGTGTAGATTTGAGAAAGGGCCAAATCTAGCATCTTGAAAAATTTTAGTAAGCATAGTTTGAGATCCCGACTCCAAAACCGCGAGTGTGGCGTATTTCTAAACGCGTGAGAANAACAAAGTTGTTGGGGGCGAGAATCTCCCACCCAAGCACTTTCCAAATTGATAGACTTTTACAAGTGAAAGACACGTGTGTAGATTTGGGGGAGGGCTAAAAGTAGCATCTTTTAAAAGTTAGGTAAGCATTGGTTGAGATTCCCGCACCTAAAACGCGAGTGTGGCACATCTCGAAACGCGCGGTAACTTACGAGAGAATGGAAAGTTGATATGGGCGAGAAAATCCAACCTAAACACTGTCCAAATCGATACACTTCCACAAGTGAAATGTGTGTAGATTTGAGAAAGTGTCAAACCTAGCATCTTAAAAAAGTCCAGTAAGCATAGTTTGAGATGTCGACACCGAAATCGCGAGTGTGGCGCGTCTCTACACGCGCGAAAACACGCGAGAGATAAAATATAAATGGGCGAGAATCTCCAACCCAAACACTGTCCAAAT